ATTATTTTATATAGCACATACCAAAATATTTTTTTAAACTTTCTATACTCTTGGTATTGTAAAATGTATGGGTCAAAAAAACATTTTTTTCGTCTTGAAAAAGGAAACTGAGATAGCTGAACATTTTCCTAATACAAGTTTAGATACCAATTGATAAGATTATAATGGTTTTATATGTCTGAATTACTTTTCTTTGCGACGYGAAGGCTCTGAAGTAGTCGATTTCTTTCCGCCGTCAAAAGGCTGAAATCCGCAAAAATCAATTTTCTCGTTTTTCTCGTAAAATAAGCGATATTTTAAAAAACAAACTACATAGTGGTTCTAGTTAGAATAAGGCCTACCCAAGGTTAGAATATGAGCGAAATCGATTTTGCGATTTTTGCTGACATCCCCTCTTAATAATTTGAAAATTTGATAGATGTAATTCCAGAGAGAGTTCATCAGACATTTCAAACTACTCATTATCACGATGCATATTAATTTGTTTAAGGTTTTAAATTAAGTGGGCATTGACCTGCAAACTGCTGTGATCATGAAGTATGATCAAAATTTTTCAATACTTCACAGCTAAGTCCTTATTGGTTAACCATTAAGTTTATGGTTCTTGATTAATTTAATGGTGCCATAATAAATGTTGAAAGATCTTGAACATTTTACAGACTCAGTGAGTCACCACTTTCATGGTGAGATCTTGAAACTGAGGTGTAGAGTGGAGTGGCAGCAGCATTTATGAAYGTGCACTATTAAGTAAATGAAAACTGCAATGCACAGTAAACATTGTTTGTCAAAAGGAGAATGATGAAGTAGCCATTGAAAATGCCTCTGGCTTGAGCAACTTTTGTTATATAAATTAAATTAATCAACAGATTATTTTGAGTTCAAAAAGATATAATCGAGGACTAAGTTAAGTGTATTCTGGTATTCTGTGATGCATATCAGTTATAAAATCAGCCAGATAACAAGCTTTCGGCCATATTTAGCCATCTTTCATTAATTTTAGTCCCTCATGTACAAATAGTTGCCTCATGCAATCTGGCCAAAAGCTTAGCAAGTAAATTTAACAGTTAAAACGTAGTGGAAACAATTTTATAATTGAAACACTTAGAATGGTTTTCATACCGTGCCTTAAACAATAAAAAAAAAACAGAAGACTTTGAGCGTAAGACGCTAGTGTATGTTTCACGGGTTTATGAAAACCACTCTATCAAGTGCAAAGGGGTTTAAGGTTTGTGTGCTTTTGTGAATAAAATGAAGGAAATGTTTGTCTATAGTAATTGTTGGTTAACATTATGGCCGTTACAACAGCACAGTACAGTACAACATCACGTTTCGTAGTCAATAGTATTCGAATTGAATATTCGATACAAAAATTGTGTTAATCACACACTGGTTTACATTTATCTTCGTTAATATTCAAGAAGTTACAAATGTTGYACGTATACCTGTATATTTAAACGATATGTGCCATCACAAGTATACAATCTGAATACTACCGAAACACTTCTAATGTATGTGACTGGCATACTCAAGAATAYTTAATGTTGAGTATACTAGTACGCAAACTCCAGTGATACCAAGACGTAAAGTTGTACGTACGTTTTCAATCTGAATACTACAGAAATACTTAGAGTGTGTGCGAGTTGCATACTCAAGAATACTAAATGTTGAGTATACTAATACGTATACTCTTGCCGTACTCGAAACGTTAGATATGTGTGAGTATTCAACTTGTATACTAAAGGCATACTTCAAGTATGATAATACTTTTTGAATACCCCAGAACACGTGAAGTACTGAAGGAATATGTCACTCTTGGATACTCTTGAATATTCGGTCTTTGGCACAGTGAGTTCTGGCCACTCGGGGCTGCACAACCCCGAGGTCCCCAGGGCATTTGGAAGGTGAGAAATGGGCGTCCAAAGTCTTGGCGGGAAAAAGTCGTGCACGGGYGAACTCCGCCTTTCCGGTCGAAAGGTGTCAATTCGGAAAGCCCGAGTCCTGGCGACTCGGGGCTGCCCAACCCTGAGGTCCCCAGGGCATTTGGAAGGTGAGAAATCATGGGTCCGYGTAGACTGCAATGGGATTGCAATGCACATCGGGGCAATACAAGATTTTTTTTCAAATTTCTACAATACCGCTGTCTGTGCCAATGTACAAAACTCGTTCTCTTACTAGTAGGCGGATCTCAAGATCTCCATTATTGTACCGACCATGGAAGAAAGTTTTTAAAAAYTTTTTTTAATGATATACATATTATATGTTTTACTACACCTCTTTGCAAAGTTGGATGAGCGCACACGGGCGTTGTCACTAACTGCGCACCTTCACCTATACAGCACAGGTCTCGACCAATCAGAGCGCGCGAACTGCCTAAACTATAAAAATAAAACCAAGTGGAGAAAAAGCTGTTGTCAGCAAACTGTTCCAAGGCAGCATTTGGAATACGAAGTTAAAGCAACAATAGCTTGTGTTAAACAAGTTTCAATTTTGTTTAAAATATTTGATTTTAAAGGGGCGGTTCCTGTTCAATGGTTAACTTACTTAATCTCGTATGATTTTTTAAAATTCATATCTCAGTTCCATAAGAATGTTCATAAAGTTATATTTCCTGCACAATAACCCTCTGTAGCAGATCTTTGTCGGTGCAGTTTAATAGGTGAATGTGGAATGGATTCCGTGACAGAAGTCGTTCGACATTTTCTCGGGGACGTACGGCCAAAACTGTCGGCCAGTTTACTTTCTTCATCGTAGAATACTTCTACAGCATCTCCACTGACATTCAGGAGACATTGGCCCTAAAAAAGGAAATGAGAGATTTTTAGCGAGAGAATACTTACTGAGATGAAATACCAAAGGATCGTCGTGCAAAAGATACAGAAAATCACGACACAACAAAGATATAAGAGATCAAACAAACGGAAAAATATCAGTTTGATTGACTGTAATTAAAAGTAGATCTAAATAAAAACTAAAGCCACAGTATACACCGGACAGGAAAAAAAAAACTTTTGGGATTGAAAAGTCTAAATCATCGAAGCTAACACAGATGTGTGTTCTGGGTAGTCGGAGCGGATTTTTGTTGCAGCATTATAAATATGCGTGTAAATAAATTGAGATTGGACACCATACCTGGTGTTTGTGTGGATTGTCTAATAAGACTATTTCATTCAACTGATACGACACAAGAGCGTTCCCTCCCAGAGCCTGGACGTGTGCCCTGAGAATGGCCTGGGCCTCCGCTAAAAACACTTGCATGAAGACATTTAGTCCTCCGTCCTGTTGAAAATATTTAAAAAAATTAAATAGCATTACAAGTAAGAATAAACCCAATAAAGTAAACATAAATTCACGGGGGCCATCCAACGTGCTATAAGCCTCCCCACAGTGCGCACGGAGAAACCACTACGAAATCGAGCCCATCTTCCCAACGGCCCTCGAAGTAGTTAAGTCGCTTAAGCAGAACACCGTTACCAATCGTTCACAAGCACCTCATTTTGCACTTATATTCTTTTGCCTATATATCCCAAAAAAGCTAACCATTACTTTCTATAATCTGGGATGATGATGATGATAATAATAATAATATTATTATTAATAATAATAATATTAATAA